AATGGAACAACAATTGATTGCATCTTGAACTAGACTTTCACATTCTATCTTTGTTCTTTTATGCATCGCTACTATCATTATATCATGGGTTTCTTTATCATAAATTCTTTGCATCCACGTTCTCATAATATGGACAACACACAAAAAAATCTAGCACTCTTGCTCACTAGCTGCTATACCAGGAAAGGCCTTTTTAATGCTCTTGGCTTCGATACTGCTATGATCCGAAAGTATATAACGAGGGGACCAATTACAATACTTATTACGAATTATTATTAATGCCTCTGCAACTGTATCTTTATCCTCATTGCTTACAAAAAAATGTGCACCTATGTTCCAGCACCCATAGGTGTTACGAACATAAAGAGTGAATAAGCGCTAGTCATAGTGGTTAGTTTTATGAGTAGAATCTATTAGTGTTAACCACCTGTGGTGCTCAAGTTTCTTTAATTGTTCCGGATGTGCAAATACAATGCCCTTAGTAGACTTTTGGGGAACACGATAATTTTCAACAACATAACCTTTTTCTATTAAATAAGAAACAGATTCTGCAACATCGACCTTTAAATTTGAGTTACCAATAAGATGGGTCTCTATAGGTCCACGAACTTTGTACTTAATGTTCGTTACTTCCTTTCGTTTTAAATCACGCACAGATTCACCAAGCCCTAACGTTGTTGTTGCGTATTCCTTAACTGCAGCTGTGATTGCTGGGGTGAGTAATTTTTAATTGCCTCTTTTTCGACTAAAGTTCTGACAGCTTCTGACCATTTTATTCTATCAATTTCTGATATTGAATGTGTGTGATCGGAGGAGTTTTTATATTGTTCTACTCGGACTATCTTAGAAGAGACAATCCAAGAAACTTTAATTTTTACAGAACATAGGTCAGGCAGTCGTGTCTTTGTAATTTGGCGTTTTTCAATCGAAATATTCTCTTTCTGTTAGGTGTTTGATTTATGATGCTTCATAAAATGACAAGCAAAAATTTTTCGAATGTTCCCATTTACATAGTTGTATAAATCTCATTGCGTCTAACAGTTTGTAACTAATAGCCACCAATTGTTGTCAAAGTCCTCCATTGGAATCTCCAGAGAACAGCTAACATTAAAAAAAAATTACCGCTTTTCGTCAGGTGTAAGATTCGATAATGATATCAAAACTAAAGGGGCAGAAATGACTGACGAGAGGAAAACTGATGCAACCGAAGGAGCAGAATCTGCAATGACCAACGAAGTGGTAACTGGTGCAACTGAAGGAGCAGAATCTGCAACGACTGATGAGGTAGCAACTGGCGCAATCAAAGGTGCTAACATAACGAATAACAACTTAATATAACCGTAACGTAACCTTTTTTTTTTAAATCACTTCTAATTTCTAATGATAATCAGGTTTTTTTCTTTTTTTTTTTTTTTTT